TCTATGGGTGCATCTACACTGTAGAATTAATGTGTTTTGACACCACTTTAAAGGCGATTAGGTCAATGTTATATAATCAAAGGAGTTGTAGATTGATGAGGCACCAGCACTCATTGGCAGAGAAGGCCTTGTAAAATGACAACTCCATTTATTTATCGTGTCAGAAGTGAATTGAAACTATAGCTATAATGCGTAAAAACCCACAAACAAAGTTTAAAAAATTGTCATTATACTAAATGTCCTTTGAACAGAAGCTGGCCACGTGGAGTGCCCCTCGTGTCTCTGTAAGGAGGTCCTTCATCGTGCATGTGGCAGGGCTCAGACTGCATTGTCGTAAGCGGTCTGTGGTTTGCTCTTCTCCACATTTGCATGTCATGGACTCCACTTTGTAGCCCTATTTCTTAAGGTTGGCTCTGCATTTCGTGGTGCCAGAGTGCAGTCTGGTCAGCACCTTCCAAGTCACCCAGTCTTCTTTGTGCCCAGGAGGGAATTTCTCATCTGTTATCAGCCACTGATTGAAGTTCTGGGTTTTACCCTGCCACTTTTGGACTCTTGCTTACTGAGGTGCTCCTACAAGTATCTCTGTAGATCTTAGAAAGCTATTTCTTGATTTAAGGTTTTGGCATCCTGGCTGATATCCGAACAGAGGATGGGCCAGAGATGTCAATGCCTTGGTCCTTTCATTTCTGGCTGTTACTTTCCAACGGATCTTAGGTTGTGCAATATCGGCTAAACAGTGTAATTTCTCCAGTGGTGTAGGGCACAGGCACCCTGTGATAATGTGGCACGTCTCATTAAGAGCCACATCCACTGTTTAATGTGGTGAGATGTATTCTGCACTGGGCATGCATATTCAGCAGCAGAGTAGCAAAGCGTAAGGGCAGATGTCTTAACTGTGTCTGGTTGTGATCCCCAGGTTGTGCTAGTCAGCTTTCATGTGACATTACTTCTGGCACCCACTTTATAAAAAGCAGTGCTTCTTATAAGTCTGAGCATGGTCCAGAGTTGTTGCGGTTTGTTAGTTTATATTGAATCTACACAGCAGTCCTCCCAGCTCCAGATCCCAAGTTGATTTGCACAGAGTATAAAGGAAAATGTCTTTACTCTTGAGTAGTCAGCACATGTATTTTATAAAGGAAAAATACAGTAGCCTTGACAAACACATTGTCCATTGCAGAAGAAAACAAACTTACAAAACAATACATTAATCTGCTTCTTTCCAGCAAACCTTGTAGCATAGTTCCATCTCTGATTACTTCATTTCACCCACTACCTGCATCAAGAAATCTTCACCTGATATACATCTAATCAGGGAGTGGTTCTTCCTCAACACACACATATAAGCAAGAGATGATTCTTGTCAAGACTTACAAAATCATATACTGTAACAAGAGTAATTCCCAGGTATTTTGGTGTACTGCAATGCTCCAGTGGGATCCTTTCTCAGGTAATCCTGAGTTTGAGATGCTTGTCTGTCCTTAAGATGAAAAGCACATGTCTGTGTTTTAGATGGATTAGGAATCAGTTGGTTTCCCCTGCAATAGGCAGTAAGAGCCCCTAAAGCTTTGGAGAGCTTCTGGACAACTCCATGATTCCACACCACTAAGCTGTAGCAGTGGTACAAGCTGCATGGTAAAGTGGTATCAAGCTGCATTCATTTTACATTTTAGATGCCACCCAAAGATTCATGGCCAACAATTCTAGGTTAGCTCTCTTGCACTGTTGGAGGGTTTAAGCATCAGCTGGCAACACAGCATCATGTAGAACCCGAAATGTAGCATTTCTTATCCTCAAGTATTGGTCATAGACAAGAGATTGTTAGATATATAGGGGAGGCAGCCCAGACAGAAGCCCACACGTCATGTTTGGCATATAGGTTGAATATTGCTTTTTGGAATTGGTATCTAATAAAAATATTTTTTCCATGGGGAAGTTGGTTTATGGGTTTACTCCCACCACTTTTGAGGGATTGTACCAGACATTGTAGTTGAACCTCCCTCTCTCCCCTGCCTCAAAACCTGGTACTGCCATTATTATTTTTTAAGCATCAAAGTTTTTCATTGTCTTTTACTGCTTGTAATTGCTTTTAATATTTCTCCTTTAACCATCTTTTTTCTTATTCTTTAATTGGTTTTAACCTTATCCCGAGAGCACACTCTGAAACAGTGATTCAAAAGGCAAAGGCCTGCCGAGCAGCTATAATAAGGTTTTATTACACCAAAGGAGGACAATATGTCCCCCGCCCACCAAAAATCTTTAACGCCAAAATAGCCTCTAAACTCCTTTTTGATGCAGCCATATGGTGTGAAAATTCAACTGTAAACCTAGACAGAGTGCAAGCAAGGTTTATAAGAGATCTTCTAAATGCACCTTCTTGTGTACCAAACACCGTCTTGCTCCTAGAAACGGGTGAATGCCCACTGTTGGCCCTGGAATGAACAGCCACAGATCCGTATCTAATATTATTGATGCCTGCCATAGCATTGCATTTATTTCCCGGCCCCCCTAGAATTTTTGGGCTAGCACAAATTTTGGTCCGGCCTTTTAAATTTTTTTAATTGTCTTGAACAAGCAGGATTATTTTTAATAGATGTGTGTTATGGCGACAATGTTTATGCATATTTTGTTTTGTTAATCTTATGGTTGTGTTGTTTTTACTTTGTATGTTCTGCGATTTTTACCTGGGAACCACTCTGAGTCCCCTCGGGGAGATAAATACATTATTATTATTATTATTATTATTATTATTATTATTATTATTATTGAGTGCTAGGACCTGGACGCTGAAATAGAACCTATAGTATTTAAATTGGAAACAGTTTTATTACATTTCCTCTACTATGAAGACTCCCAACCCCTTTGGGCGAGGAGGATTGAACGAAGAGTGGCCTCAATTGGACTGTCCACACCGCTTTTGCTCCATTTGGGATTCAAAATGGCACAAGAATCCTTGAAGCAAAGGTTTTGGAACATTGCCATGGGCAAGCTCTGAACCTGCTCAAATTTACCATGTTCCCCCAGAGTCTTCAACTTGCCATACAGAGAGACATTTAAGACATGTGAATACCTAAAAAGCCTTATAGTGATCAAATATAGCAGATTCTTTACAAAGGCGAGATTAAACACATTTGTCTCAGAGCTGCTAAGAGGCAAACTGTCTGGAATTCCTTACTCCCAAAGACTATGTCCCCGTGAAGTAAATGAAGTAGAAACAATAGAACACATTTTATTGAAGTGCCACTATTACGCAGAGCATCATAGCCAACTTTTATATCCGGTTTTGTCCTGCATGTCCAGCCCTCCACACAGCGGATTGTTAGATATCTTTTAGAGGACAAGTGCCACAGGGTGACCCTCATGGTGGCCAAATTCTTCACAGTGGCAACAAGGCTGAGAAAGAAATTACCCTCAGATAGGGGTATTACTTGAAACCGTACATAATAATCTTGGACAATGAGATGGGAAATTTATTAGTGACTGTTCACTGATGGGTCTATGGACCGTAATAAATATTGTTGTAATTGGTTTTACTGTCTAATCCTACTGTGTTTTCCCCTCTGGTGATCACATTGAGTTTTATTGAGATCTTGTTTTGTGTTTTTGCATTGTAAGCTTCCCTTGAGGCAAGTCATAAAGAAGGATGGATGTCCTACAAATTAAAAGTAAAAAACAGTGACACAAAGTTGCATTAGCTCATCCCCCACAACTACCATGCAAGGGAGATTATACAAAGACGGTTATACGTCCAAAGGCATCCAGTGTTCTTTTCTCATAAGGGATTGGGACTCCCCCTCCCCCCAAATCTTTTCTGAATCAGCACCCCAAATAACCAAACCAAATCTAAATTTGTCCAGAAACTGATTTGTAACCCTTTTAGTACTATTGTTGGAGAGCAGTCTCTGGTCAAAACAAGGTTGGGAACCACTGTTCTAGAAGATGGCTAGTAGGAGGAAACACCAATCCATTTCCTAGTAACAGGATCGGGTTTTGCCTATCTAACAGGTGAAACTCTACGACATTTCCATCATCCACTGTAGACATTACACAATGTTCAATTTAACTTGATGTGGGGAAAATAAGCACAAGTGAAGCCAAGACTCAGAGGACCCTTCCACACAGTTATATTACCCAGAACATTAAGGCAGAAAATCCCACAATATCTGCTTTGAACTGGGTTACCAGAGTCCCCACTGCCATATAGTCCAGTTCAAAGCCGATGTGGGATTCTATTCAGCTGTGTGGAAGGGGCCACAGGAAAAAACAATGAATATATAAGTATATTATGCAGTAAGTGATCATCCAGAGATTATCAGTCAGCATCAGCTTACTGGAAGTACAGGTTTAGATTGGCTTGTGCTGCATCCAAAGTAATGATGACCCTACTTAAACCATCCCATGCTAATGGAGATTTATAGTCTTCACACCATCTCTCTCCCTTTAATAAAAGTTTTCCAAGAGCTGGAGGCTGATTGGCAGGTATACGCGTTTCTGAACCATTTCAAAGAGAATGCATTGGCAAGGCAAAGATATGTAGATATGTCCATAGATTTATTTTTTAAATCGCTTTATATATTTATACTTTTATTTAAAAATAATCCACCCAAAACACACTCACACATACCCCGGCCCTTCCACTGATCCTAGCACAGCAAACACTGAGAGGGTAAACTGTGCCCTAGAGCAGATGTCCCAGGATCCACACTCGCAACAAAAGTGGTTTCTCGGTGCCACATTCATGTCCAACCCAGATTTCTGCAAATCTATTGGTGCAAAAGAAACTGAAACAGAGGTCATTTATGGTTCTTAAAATGCACCTGAAAGACAAGGGATGGGAAAGGGCAAAAGAAAGAAAAATGATGACATCCAGAACAACAAAAAGGCAAAAAAAAAAAATATTGGACAGAAACAGAAGGGAGGGAGGGAGGAAGGAAGGGAGAGAAAATAGCTGAGCATGCCAGAAAAGAGGAAATGAAAAGAGAAAATGTTATTAGAGAGAGATGTGGAGAGAAGTATGCAGAAAGTCATCCAGGATGGAGAAAATTAAGCACCACACGTGGGACACCAATTCATCCTTCTCAGCCAGCAGTCCGGTTAGTTTGATTTTGACCAAATCTTTGCACTTCCTCGGAGTCTGCAGAGAAAGACAAAGTTCTTACAGTCAGCATGAGCAGAATACCTAATTAGGGGCTTTACAGATTAATTATCCATGAGGACTGAGTTGCAGATAAAACATTGGGGGTGCTCTGCTTTTCTGACAGAGAGGGAATGGCCAGCTTAACTGGAATGCCACCTCACCCTTTGCCCTTGGAAGCCTTTTTGCTGGCCTGCCGCTGGTTGGTGCCTGGAGTCGGCTCCCGGAGTTCCGATAGATGCTGCTCCGGATCCTGGGACGTTGCTGCTGCGGCTGCTGCCGTTGTCACCTTTATTGTCTTCTTCAGATTTGCTACCTGCTGGGGCAAAGAGAGGGACGGGGAAACAAGAGGGACAAAATTAAAGTGCCAAATCAAGGTATTAACCTAAATATGGATCAACACCAAGTCAAGACCTGATCTCCCCATAGTCTGAGGTAATTGTGACACATTCAGGAGGGCAGGGATTTCTCTTTCTCTTAAAGCAGTGGTTCTCAAACTGTGGGTCCCCAGACTCCTCAGGACGACACTAGCTTTGACCCGCTGACTCTAACAGGCTTCAGCCTACTCACTCTCCTCAGAACAACACTAACTTTGGCCCACTGTCTCTAACAGGCTTCGGCCTACCAATTCTTTCAATGCATTACTCCCATTTTTCTAATCCCTAGTTAATTTTTGATATTTCTGACAGTTTTGGCCTTCAACTCCTAGATATCCTAGCAACTGGTAAGCTGGCTGGGATTTCTGGGAGTTGTAGGCCAAAACATCAGGGACCCACAGGTTGAGAACACTGTCTAAAAGCTTTAGCAAATGCTCTCCAATGTTTTGGCAGATGCAGCAAAGACTTCCTCAATCTCATCACATCTGAAGTCACTCACCTCACTTTCTATCTGCTGTTTCAAACCCAACTGCTGCTCTTTGTGCAGATTGGCTCGGCTAACTTGTTCTTCGATGCTTGAAAGGACAACCTCACAGCCCTGGCACCTAAGGTAGACAAGCAAATAGTGAACAGGCAGAACAGGAGGGCAGAGATGAGCTAAATAGGTAAATATTCAGAAACATCCAGGTTGCAACAATAACAACAATAATAATTTTATTTCTTACTCGTCTCTCCTTCTGCCTCGAGGCAGGTTACAGCATAATTAAAACACATAAACATTGACAAAATCCTTTTACTATTCTTAATGTATAGGTTAAGTTTATCATATGCTGTTTAATCAATTCTTTACTGACAAATTCTCTAGCTTTTTCTAGGTTCTAGCTATCTTGAGTCTTGCGGCACACATTATGAGCAGTATAAGATTTTTATTTCATGTATTCTCGCTTTCGTATACCGAGAACATTAGTAGAGCACCCCTGAAATGTACTATTCCATCCACTGTTTGGTTTACTCAAGACAGAACTTCATTCCAGAATCTCCTAACTTTGGGGCATGATAGCCGCATGTGACTCCAATTCATACTTTCTCCAACAAAGTTTAGAGATTCTATTATGTAGTTTAAGTGGATAACCGTACCATCTATGCATATATTTTGGAGTATTTTTTCTCAATTGTGATGAGATTGATTTAAATGTTTGGATTTTACAAATTGAGTGCAATTATTTATTTATTTAGTATATTTAGTATATTTATATATTGCCTTTCTCACCCCTGGGGGGCTAAAGACAGTTTACAACATAATAATTGGCAAACATTCAATGCCAACATACATATAATGATGTAAAATCACAACAACTAAACACTTACATACAATTATATATTAAAATCATTAAAACCATTAAACACAGGCATATACAACATGTAGACACTAAGACAAAGCATTAAAAACATCCTAATATAAATATTAAAATCGCATGATCCAATTCTTGGGATGGACACTGTATTAGCTTGTGCAAGCACAGAGTGCCTTGGGTTGTTGTAGGCTTTTTCGGGCTGTATGGACATGTTCTAGAGGCATTCTCTCCTGACGTTTCGCCTGCATCTACGGCAAGCATCCTCAGAGGTAGTGAGGTCTGTTGGAACTAGGAAAAAGGGTTATATATCTGTGGAATGACCAGGGTGGGACAAAGGACTCTTGTCTGCTGGAGCTAGGTGTGAATGTTTCAACTGACCACCTTGATTAGCATTTGATGGCCTGGCAGTGCCTGGAGCAATCTTTTGTTAAGAGGTGATTAGATGTCCTTGTTTGTTTCCTCTGTTGTTTTGCTGTTGTAATTTTAGACATTCACACCTAGCTCCAGCAGACAAGAGTCCTTTGTCCCACCCTGGTCATTCCACAGATATATAAACCCTTTTTCCTAGTTCCAACAGACCTCACTACCTCTGAGGATGCTTGCCATAGATGCAGGCGAAACGTCAGGAGAAATGCCTCTAGAACATGGCCATATAGCCCGAAAAAACCTACAACAACCCAGTGATTCCGGCCATGAAAGCATTCGACAATACACAGAGTGCCTTGTTTACCATTCCTGAAGGGTGCGAGTGATGGCACTGAGCTCCTCCCTGCGGATGTCCCGACCAATGCTGTAATCCACCTCCAACCGCTGGTTGCGCTGGTCCAGGCTTCCCCGCAGGACATCCGCATATACTGCCTCAATCACTAAGTCCTCGAGCTGACGCACATTCTTCAGCTGAAGCTGCTCCAGCAGCACCGCATAAGGAATGCACTGTGGGGACACAGGTACTGTGAGGTGCAAGACCCTCCAGAGGAATACAGACACGCTGCGGCAGAATGGCTACACTACCTTGAGCTTTGAAGCCAGTGTGACGACAGAGAGATGGCGCAATTTGTTCTTCTGAGCCTCTGTTAAGGGAGGCAGATTCCCAGATTCAGCTGCCCTCAGGAAACAAGAAGGATCACAGAGGTCAGATTCCCTCAGAGTCTCAATACCAAAATTAGGAGCCACTCTCTTTCCATGCTCCAATGCGCTTTCAAATTTCACATATTTCGAAATTTCATGTTGAACCGCAAGGAGAGGCAGTGACGTGTTGGTTTCAAACCACCCCGCACTTCTAACTCCCAAGGTTGATTCTCCACTTCAGATACAGCTTTACAGCTTTACCAACTCTCCAAAATTTAGATAAGTAGAACATACCCCAAGTAATTTATTCAAGCATCCAGTAATCCTATATAATCTCTCCTCTCCCCAAAGTGCTAAATTCAAACTATGCTAGCAAAGTCATAAACTGTGCTTTTTAAAGATTATATCTTCTCCCAACACATTCAAATAAGTGAGTGATGTTCTCAACACTGCCCTGGAGACTAGCAAAACACTAGCTAAATATTTTAAATCAATACCGTATCAAGATAAAATCCGTATGTGGCTTTAAAAAAGGTCACCACAATGGGAGAAAGGGAGGATGTAAAGAACTGAACTAGAGGACGGAGGAGATCCATAAAGATTATAAATCACTGGACAAATTCCAGCACTCCTTCACAATCTGTAGACCTTCCAAGTCATGTCGCACTATTACTCTGGGCAGTTCTGCTCCTGCACTGGAACTTCCCATTTCCAAATTAAGGTACAAAGCTTTTTTATACACAGTTACTACAACTGCATTGGCTTCGTCCTTGCTTTGCTGTACCTTCTCTCTCTTATCAGCATTTTCCTCCCTTGACTATTCCTGTTTCCTGAGGATAAGAGGAAACATACCCAGGTAATCTGAATACGTCCCATATGCAAAGACTGTGAGGAGGCGGAAGACGGGGGAGAACTCACTGTCTGCTAGCTGTAGAGAGGGATAGAAAGAAAAACATTCAGTAAAAACAGTAGAGGAATGGCAACAATTCTTACCGCTTACTTTTCCCCAGCTTGTCCCAAAGCCAGTGCTTCCAAAATTTTTCATTTCATTGCTAATGAAATAAAACTTTTCTTCTCACCATTTTAAGGCACAGAATTTTCAAATATGAGCAACAAATGAATTTTATGAGCCAGTCCCATGAACCACACTAGTGGACTGTACTTGTAACTGTGGTGAAAAATACATTATTTATCTGGGCCTAGAGTTAATATGATGAAATGCTCTTCCATATAATAAAACAAATTCTCTGTACATATAATACTAGATAAGGATATACTAGCTTACTGTGGGCAGAACTTCTGTTGCTGAATGAAGGCACAAAACACAGTACTTTAACCTTTCACCTGAAGTCTAGATTGGTGCAACCCAAAGAAATATCTACATCCTGGTGAAAATTGTTGCACACGTACGATTCCAAATTCCTCATGGTAGCACAACACTCTGGTGTGAGGGATGCTGCATTTTAACTGGTGAAGTGCAATGTTTATATATATTCTACGATGTTTATATGTATAATGTTTTAATGGTTTAAATCATGTTTATGTGTTTATTGATTTTAATTAATCATACTATGTTTCGCTCTGAATTTTGCCAAATTGTAAGCCGCTCTGAGTCCCCCCCGGGAATGGTGCAATGTTAATTTTCCTCTATGTTTTAGGTGATTGTGTTTTTATGCATAGCGTTTTAAGGGTTTAATTCATGTTTATATGTTATTGATTTTGGTTAATGTTATGTATTGCTTTTATATGTATATTGGCATGTTGTACACCGCTCAGAGAGACAGCAGTATAGAAATGCAGTAAATAAATAAATATAGTAAATAAATAAGAAACATTGTGTGCTGGACTAAATGGATTCCTGCTCAGTCAGACAGCTTACTAGGCGACCTTGTACCAATTCCTCGCAGGTTTGTTTTGAAGAGGAAGAAGCAGGGAACCATATCCATCAATTCAAGCCATTTGGAAGAACAATGGAATAAAAGTGCAATGACCCATAATTTGTCTAGGTTTTTAAGGTCAAAAGGTTCAAAAGCAACATACTCATCCCCCCCCCCCCTCCCCAATAACACAACTTTGATTTCGCTGTTAGTTACATAAACACAGGATGCTTCTGGCTTTGAAAAATGATTTGGGAGAATAATGTGCGAGGCTTATGACAATGGTTCCTCAACTTTCTTCTTTCAACACTGACATCAGCTGAAATCCTGAGTAATGCAAACTAATACCTTACCCTCAAACACATTGTTCTTCCTCTGCCTATCAGGATAGATGCTGAGAGAAATGTCTCTGCTCTTACTGATGTCCTTCAAGAATACCTGAAGTCTTCCTAAAGACCTCAATAACATTGTTTTCATTGTTGCTGACTCATGACATTTCTCCAGTGGTTATGAGGAAAGGCCCCTAACCCTTCTTCATTAATGCTACTAGAGCTTGTAACAAGAAGCCAATGAGAAAACTAATCAAACTGTGCAGGCATGAGCAAACTTCATACCTCCAAGTGTATTAGACTTCAAACATCTGGAGGGCCGAAGTCTGCCCATGCCTGGTTTTAGAAACATGTTTGCCCAAATATGGCCCTTTGCTCTGGGAAACACTTATTGTGGCCTTTTATAACATCAAAGCATTAAGGCAGTCTTAAAAGGCAGAACTGGGGTTGCTCAGACTCAGGGAAACCCCCAATCCCTCCAGCCGCCTTCCAGGAATTATACAGATTTGGCCCCTTTGGCTGGTCAGGGCTCACCTCTCGGACGTTGGGCATGTCAAGCAGCTCTCCAAAAACATAGATGCCAGGGGCCTCCAGCACTTGGTGGATGAGGCTGGCCAAGGCTGCTCCCCGGGCAGACTTTGCCAGCAGCAGGAACTGCTCCTGGTTCTGCCCCGTCACTTTTACTTCCACTTCGGCTGCCATGGAGTCGCCCCGCATTCTGCTCCAGGGCCAGGACACAGGCCCGCCACCTGAAGGATGGATGGAAGGAGCAAGCAAGTGTCACCAGCAGAGCTTTTCCAGCAGGCTCTTCCGGCAGGCTTGCCCAGTCAATTTTAAAACACAGTTTTAAATTTACATTCTATTACTATTGTACTTTATCTTTTGTACCATGTATTTCAATATATGCAATTTACAGTAATGTATTTTAATATATGCATTTTATTTTGTGTATTTTTTGATAGGTGTTTTAATTGTTGTCGTCATCCCCCGTTCCCCGTCCCCCCCGAACCTGATATGAGCTTGAACTGGCTGTAACACACTGACGGATTCCAGCATCCCCTCACAAGTGGTAGAACTGGTCTTCTAAACAACACATTCTAACCAGACTGTGGTATATCTACCCCACTAAAGTAACACTATGTAACACGATTTTTGTTCCTGGATAATAAATGTCATTTCCTGATTTGTTCTATCATAACAACATGGGAAAAGTTTATTAAACTGCAAAAATTGTATTTTTGTGAGGCATCCTGCAGCACGTTTTGCTATAATTTTTCAATTAATATCTGACCAAATCTCAAATAATTCAATATAGTTTGTGGTAGCCATAAAAACAAAGTTTCTGGAGTATATCAACTACTTTCAAAGTAAGTACCACATAATTAAACAGGAAATAACACTTTCAAACCAGGAACAGATTTTTTTTCAAAATTTTGTTATACAGTGTTGCAGTTGTTATTATTAGTATTTCATTCGCTGGCTTCCTTCAAAGAACCAAACCCTATTAGACCTAGACATTTACACCAAATGCAGCTGCTATGTCAACAGCATATATGGTATATTTTTAAAATCGTATCATTTATAAGCCATGTCAAAACAAAAGGTTCATGAGCTTCTCGCCCCTTGCAATCATACACAGAAAACATACAAAGCAGTCAAAACAGCACTAAAGCAACACATCGCAACATGTTTTATGTTTTCAAGTAACCTGCCCCTGATATACAGGCTCAGGCCCACTCTACACTGCCATGTAAAATCCAGATTATCTGCTTTGAATTAGATTATATGGCAATGTAGATTTATATAATCCAGTTCAAAGCAAATAATTGAAACTGATTTCAGGTAAGATACTACTGGTATCACATAGGATGGATCCGGGAATAGGATTACACTCCCCCTGAAAGTGCAGGTTCACAGTTTGGGAGTGATTCTGGATTCCTCTCTAAACTTGGAAGTCCAGGTGGCAGAGGTTACCAGGATCGCCTTTCCACAACTTAAACTGGTGCACCAACAGCAACCGTTCCTGAAAAATCCAACTTGGCCATTGTGGTACATGCCTTGATTACATCCTGCCTGGACTACTGTAATGCCCTCTATGTGGAGTTGCCTTTGAAAACAGTTCGGAAATGTCAATTTGTCCAAAGATCGGCAGCTAGGCTGTTAAAGGGAGCGGATATAAGGGAACATACTACCCTGCTTCCAATTAGTTTCTGGGCTTGATTCAAAGTATTGGTTTTGACCGTTAAACCCCTTCATGGCATCAGTCCAGACATTGGGTTCCTGTATATACACCAAGGAGAGCACTAAGGTCCAGTGGGGGATTGCTAGTGTCCTCTAGCATGTGGGACACTCTCCACCTGAAGACTGCTAGAGAGAGGTCCTTCTCGGGAGTGGTTCCCTCTCTTTGCAATGCCCTCTCAGGGGAGATTAGATCTGCACCCTCCCTGATGGTTTTCAGGAAGAAACTAAAAAACATCCTTTTTAAGGAAGCTTTTGGGGAAAAGTAATAATAATATATCCCCATATATTACAATGTAAGTATTATCACGCCTAGGTTGTTGTAGGTTTTTCGGGCTGTATGGCCATATTCTAAAAGCATTCTCTCCTGCCATTTCACCTGCATCTGTGGCAAGCATCCTCTGAGGTTGTGCGGTTTACCTCTCACAACCTCTGAGGATGCTTGCCCCAGATGCAGGCAAAATGTCAGGAGAGAATGCTTCTTGAATATGGCCATACAGCCCAAAAAACCTACAACCCAGTGATTCCGGCCATGAAAGCCTTCAACAATACATTGTCATGCCATTTATAAGGACAGTAATTACCACTGTTTATTAACTATTTGCTTTAATTATCTTAATTTATTATCACACATGGCATTGAATGCTTGCCATTTTTCTTTGTGGAAGCCACCCTGAGTCCAAGGAGAGAGGGTGGAATAAAAAAAAGATTATTATTAATGTGGAGTACAAATAATCTGGAATTTATATGGCAGCGGAGATGGGGCCTCAGACAAAAATACCAAAGGAGCCTTAGTTGCAAGAACAGAATGTCTCACCTTTTAAAGCCAAAAGCCAATAGCAACTTTCCCAATTGGCATCGATTTTCAGATAGTTTCCATCTACAAATCATAGAACCATAGAATCCTAGAGTTGGAAGAGACCTCGTGGGCCATCCAGTCCAACCCCCCCCCCCCCAAGAAGCAGGAAAACTACATTCAAAGCACCCCTGACAGATGGCCATCCAGCCTCTGTTTAAAAGCCTCCAAAGAAGGAGCCTCCACCATACAGAGATTTCCACTGATTAACAACTCTCACAGACAGGAAGGTCTTCCTCATGTTCAGGTGGAATCCCCTTTCTGTAGTTTGAAGCCAATGTTCCGCGTCCCAGCCTCCAGGACAGCAGAAAACAAGCTTGCTCCCTCCTCCCTATGACTCCCTCTCTTGTATTTATACATAGCCACCATGTCTCCTCTCAGCCTTCTCTTCTGAAGACTAAACATGCCCAGCTCTTTAAGCCCCTCCTCATAGGGCTTGTTCTCCAGACCCTTGATCATTTTAGTCACCCTCCTCTGGACACATTCCAGCTTGTCAATACCTCTCTTCAATTGTGGTGCCCAGAATTGGACACAATATTCCAGGTGTGGCCTAACCAAGGCAGAATAGAGGGGTAGCATGACTTCCCTGGATCTAGACACTATACTCCTATTGATGCAGGCCAAAATCCCATTGGCTTTTTTTGCTGCCGCATCACATTGTTGGCTCATGTTTAACTTGTTGTCCACGAGGACTCCAAGATCTTTTTCACACGTACTGCTCTCGAGCCAGGCATTGTCCCCCATTCTGTATCTTTGCATTTCGTTTTTTCTGCCTAAGTGGAGTATCTTGCATTTGTCCCTGTTGAACTTCATTTTGTTAGTTTTGGCCCATCTCTCTAATCTGTCAAGATCGTTTTGAATCCTGCTCCTGTCTTCTGGAGTATTGGCTCTCCCTCCCAATTTGGTGTCGTCTGCAAACTTGATGATCATGCCTTCTAAGCTTTCATCTCAGTTATTTATAAATAGGCGGGTTTGTTTCCAAAAGAATTGGAAAATGTGTTTTGGGTGGTATCTGAGTAGAATATTATGTACAGCTCAAACTTTCAAAAATATACCCAATCACTTTGGTCCAGAGCTTGGAAACTGGCGTCTTAGAGCAACAGAGTAGGCCTCAGAGAACTTTGCGGGCCAAGCTCCCCAAATCGAGGCAGGCCCCTCATTCCCCGTGACACACAGAACACTCTAGGCTGCACATTCAGCCCAGAGAGGCGGCTAGCGCCCCAAATGCGCGTTTGTGGGTGGGTGAAGGGGCCGAGGCCCTCTGGCGCCCTACCTGAGGGGTTCCCGCCCGGACCCGCCACGGTTGCTGTCACCGCCACCCCTCTCGCCGGGAGACAGACCACTTCCGGGTTGGTGCCGTCACAGCTACCCCGCAGGCCCCGCCTCCTAGTCCTCTCATTGGCTGGCAGCGCCTGACAGGCATCCCGCGCGCGGCTTTGAGGCGCCTCTAGGAGGCGGGGCTTGGCGGCTTCCGCCCAGGAAGGCGCCAAGCCCCGCCCCCTTCGAGGCTCCTCCCCCTTCGAGGCTGTTGCTCCTGTTTACAGACATTACTTCCTCCATTTAACCATAGCAACAGCAAGTGGTCTGCTGCGAAGGGAGTAGGTGTCCTGAAATGCTACCTGGATATGATCCCATATTGTCCAGTTATCTCTCTCAGTGTCAATTATACTGATGGTAGCCATCCTCAGCCACCAATTTTCTGTAGGCCAGGCCACCTCAGACTGTGGCCCTCCAGCTCTTTGGGCCTCCCAACCCCCAGCTTGTTCAGTGGCCAGGGATTCTGGGAGTTGGAGGCCCAAAAAAGCTGCAGGGCCTCAGTTTGAGGATATACCTGCCAAAGGCCTTTCTTAAGAAACCTGCCTTCACTCTCTTCCAGAAAGAAAGCTGTATAGGTGGGTCATGAAAGCAACACTTCACTGAATAAGGAGAAAATAGGCCGAGGATCCTACTGTACACAGAACGTTGTGTCCAGTCACAACAACACGTCATGAGGTGGTTTGTGTGTCTGTCCTTGTACTTCAAGACTTCTTTGCTTTCCTTATAATATATTGTATATACATATATTTATAGTATTATAATTTAATACAATATACTACTGCTCATTGGAGGGAAGGATACTAGAGACAAAGTTGGAGTACTTTGGCCACATCATGAGTAGACAGGAAAGCCTAGAGAAGACAATTATGCTGGGGAAAGTGAAAGGAAAAAGGAAGAGGGGCCGACCAAAGGCAAGATGGATGGATGGCATCCTTGAAGTGACTGGACTGACCTTGAAGGAGCTGGGGGTAGTGATGGCCGACAGGGAGCTCTGGCGTGGGCTCGTCCATGAGGTCACGAAGAGTCGGAGATGACTGAACGAATGAACAACTACTACTACTGCTAAAAATAATACAATATTATATTGTTGAAGGCTTTCGTGGTCGGAATCATTGGGTTGTTGTAGGTTTTTTCGGGCTATATGGCCATGTTCTAGAAGCATTCTCCCCTGACGTTTCGCCTGCATCGGGCTATATGGCCATGCTTGCCATAGATGCAGGTGAAACGTCAGGAAAGAATGCCTCTAGAACATGGCCATGTAGCCCAAAACAACCTACAACCCCAATACAATATTATAATTATATATTTTATATTACATGTAATATTACTAATAATATTACAATATAATGTTGTAGTATAATATAGTAATATATAATACTGATATTGTACTATGCTAATAATTTAATATATTGTATGTATGCATATGTATATACACATACATACACACACGTGCACACACACATATATAGTAAGCCGCTCTGAGCCTCTTCGGGGTGAGAAGGGCGGCATATAAATGTCATAAATAAATAAATAGGGCATCATTTTGTGGCAGAAAGCAGGGGGAATCATCTTATGGTCGAAAAGTTGTACTCCAGTCACTTCATTTTTGTAGCTGCTATTTTGAACCTTTCAATAAGCCATTTTTAATATTTCATGTGCCATTTTTAACCTTTGGCCATTTTAAAACCTTTTCCATGTTTTTTTTTTAATGATAGACTAAATTAGGAAATGACATTTATGACCAGGGAACAAAAATCATGTTACATAGTGTAATAGGTACAGCAAGGTAGTGATATATTGAAATTATGCATTTCCTGAAAATAATAATAATCATAATAATAAGCTATATGAATAAAAATAGATTATTTGTGGGATTAACATAACTCAAAAACCACTGGACGAATTGGCAAGTAATAGAGTGACACTTCTGATTGAGTAGATAAAAGCACCTGTCAGGAATTTGGAAACAAGACACCTAATAACGCAAGGCGTGACCATCACTCAAAAAAATTGATTTTTTCATTTGGGAGTTGTAGTTGCTGGGATTTAGAGTTAATCTACAATCAAAGAGCATTCTGAACTCCACCAATGATGGAATTGAGCCAAACTTGGCACACGGAACTCACATGACCAACAGAAAACACTGGAAGGTTTGGTGGGCATTGACCTTGAATTTTGGAGTTGTAGTTTACCTATATCCAGAGAGCACTGTGGACTCAAACAATGATGGATCAGGATCAAACTTGGCACGAATACTCCATATGTCCAAATAAGAACACAGATGGAATTTGGGGGAAATAGACCTTGACATTTGGGAGTTGTAGTTACTGGGATTTATAGTTCACCTACAATCAAACCTCACCAACAGTAGAATTTGGCCAAACTTCCCACACAGAACCCCCATGACCAACAGAAAAGACTATGTTTTCTGGTGGTCTTTCATGACCCTTCTGACACCCCCTCAAGAACTGCTCCCAGGGGGCCCGACCCCCAGGTTGAAAAATACTGCCTTAAGGCCATCCAGTCCAACTCCCTTCATAATAGATGAGCAATTCCTTTACCAAGGGCAGAGTGGTAGAGCTGTTTGTGAAATCCTGCGGAGCACCTCACTTACAATCTTTATTTCTGAATTATTACGTCATGATGCTCTCTTCACAAAACTAATTAATATTATAGCCATGTATTTATAGGTGTGGTACATGTTAAGCCTCCGTTATCAAAAATGATTGGGATCAAGAGAGGTTTGGATTTTTTTCAATCTGGAAATAGCTATATTTTCCCACAGAGCAATGAATTTCAAAAGAAAATCAGCCTGCGCTTTATAGATTATAGCAAAGATTTTTGACGGAATGAGTCACGCAAAAGCGTTGACTGGCCTTAAAGATGTGAGTGTGCCATAACATTTTATTGTCTGGGTGCATAACACTGGCCAACATACATTTTGGTGCCTCAAATGTTAGCCTTGCTTCTGGGTATATTTGACCTGCTGATTCCAAAAATGGCACCAATTTTCCCGTCAGAAATACAGATCATATGGCATCTACCAGTCTTTCTCTGCTCACCCATAGAAAATCATGATAATCATATCTAAGAACTAGAGCTGATGTAGTCTATCCAATGCAATCAATGCCCCAAATCACACCAGGAACAGGCCTAAAAAGAAAACATTAAGATATTTACTGTGGGGGGTGAAGTTGGACTGTGTAACTTGTACTCAAGACAAGAGGCAACTGTTGGGATAGAGTATGGAAAGGTTTCCAATTGACAAAGAAATAAAGCAGTGCTGCATTTTTTTCATCCTTTCTGTTTAACTTCTACATAAAATAAGATTCGATTTTGAGGGGAAAAAGGCACGGAAATTGAAGGAATAAACATCAACAACTTGAGATATGCAGATAAAAGCATGCAACCAGCAGAAAATAGCATGGAGTTGGAATGATTACTGAAAAAGGCATGATAGAAAGTGGGGAAGCACATTTACAGTGGGACATTAAGAAAACAAAGATAATAACAACTGATGACTTCCATAACATGAAAAGAGATGATGAATACCTTGAAGTAGTAGTAGTAGTAGTAGTAGTAGTAGTAGTAGTAGTAGTGCAAAGGCTCTGGCATAAACTAGTACAGGTAGTCCCAGTGGTCATTGGCACACTGGGTGCCGTGCCAAAAGATGTCAGCCAGCATTTGGAAACCATAAACATTGACAAAATCACGATCTGTCAACTGCAAAAGGCCACCTTACTTGGATCTGCACGCATAATTCGAAAATACATCAGACAGTCCTAAACATTTGGGAAGTGTTTGACTTCTAATTTTGTGATATGAAATCCAGCATATAGATCTCATTTGCAGTGACATACTGTGTTTTTGTGTCAGTAAAATAATACGATGTTATCTGTATACAGATTACGTCCAAATCTGTCACTCCTTCCCACCTGTTACTAAGGAGGCTGTTCAGACCTTGTGCCGTTGTGTCGGACTGGATGAGGGCTAAAAAATTGAAATTGAATCCAGACAAGACAGAGGTCCTCCTGGTCAGTTGAAAGGCTGAACAGGGCATAGGGTTACAGCCTGTGCTGGATGGGGTTACACTCCCCCTGAAGACGCAGGTTTGCAGCTTGGGAGTGATCCTGGACTCATCGCTGAGCCTGGAACCCCAGGTTTGGCTGTGGCCAGGGGAGCATTTGCACAGTTAAAACTTGTGCGCCAGCTGCACTTGTACCTTGGGAAGTCTGATCTGGCTCCGGGGAGGTCCTGCTCTCACTTCTGTCAACATTGCAAACGCGTTTGGCAGGGATGAGAGACAGGGCCTTCTTGGCTGTGGCCCCCCGCCTATGGAATACACTCCCAAATGAAATAAGATTAACTCCATCCCTCCTGGCTTTCAGGGAAAAAAAATCATGGCTTTGGGACCAGGCCTTCAGGCAGCAGACATAATTTGCACGTTACTGGACTTTGACTGGAATAGCGTTGCGGCAGATGACATTGTGGTTTTGTTTTACTGTTTTAATTAATGCTGTATGTACTGGTTTTAATGACTGTTTTGTGTTTGATTTTGTTTATATTATTGTAATTGTGATGTAGCGGCCTTGCACCATTACGAATATAAACCTTTCGGGGTTGGAGAAGGGACGGGATATAAATATAATAAATAAATAAATACATTCTTACCACTTCTCCCTATGGCTTAAGGTGGTCATGATTTTCATATCTGGACTTGGAGAATGGAGACTGTGGTCAAGAAAGAAGAAGACTAGGACTTGGGTGGGCAACTATAAAGAAACTTGACAAGATTCTGTGCAATCATGCCAGCCACATGACCTTGGAGGTGTCTACAGACAATGCCAGCTCTTCAATTTAGAAATTGGTATGAGCATCACCCCCAGAGTTGGACATGACTAGACTTAATGTCAAAGGGAAACCTTTACATATGTGTGCGTCTATGTGTGTGTGTGTGTGTGTGTGTAAAGCTTGTCCATGCCAACGTACTTCTAATTTCTATATATGGTTGTGAAAGTTGATCAGTGAGTAGAACAGATAAGAAGAGAAAGTCAATTA